GGAAAGAGCAGTGGAAACCTTGACTATTTTCATTAACCTTCTTGTTCTCAGTCAGAAATATAAAAGCTGCTGCTCAGCCCTGGCACCTTTATCCCAGAGCTGCAGCAAGACCTTTGCAATTGCCCAGCATTTGTTTTGCTCTCAAATGCCAGTGGGGTTCCCCAACTGAAAATCAGAAAAGAGAATGCATTTTTTTTCCTTTCTATGTTCAACCCACCTCCAGAGCCAGATGGAGTGGGTTGGGCTGTAAGGTATTAAAGATATTCAAATTTCATGAGAAGGGGAAAATTTCTAGAGTTTTTGGTAGGTTGTCATATTTTTCCCACCTGGCCTAATTGTCTGAATGTCACCAACTGCTTTATTGCATTGTAAAGCATTCTGGGGCTGACAGATGCTATTTAAAATCAAATTCTGCTCTTCTCTGCAGCATCGCACATATCCAAGAATAACCCTTCCATAAGACATGCTATACAATATGGCATTGGTCCCACTCAGGCAAAAATCTAATTGACTTGTAGGGTGTGTATGTTTTGCAAGGTAGCCAACTGAGCAATAGTCACCATATGAATGAAAAGTAATCACTTCTGCTGGGAGACTGAAGCCATGACACAGCTTCCATTATACCTTCACCACGAGCCTGCATGCGTCAGTGCTAGAGAAATTCCAGAGCCAATAAAATGCCCGTAAGGAAATGGATGTGAAATCAGTTTAGCTTAAAACAAAATCCCTAAAATTCTGTACTTTATCACTATTCTGGTGGGGAAAAAATAAATAGGAGTAGTGCATCATTCCATACAATAGGATAACCTATAGGGACAGAAAGAGAAGGTTTGGGACACATGGGTTTATGTGGATAGTATGACCCCAATATTGGTCACATGTTATTTACATGTGCTTGAAAAACACAATCATACACATGTGAATCACATGTGAATGAGATTGGATCCTAAGACCATCATGAGAGCTGCTTGAAACTCCATGTGTGAAACCACTAGGCACAAACCTTAAAACCTTAGAAGTTTCTACTGCGAGTGGAAGATCACAGTGAAGAGTCCTGGCTGTTGCACAAAAGGATCTCATCTCTGTTCCTTGCTCAGCATCTGCACCATGTCTGCAATAGCAGTGTGATACAAAACCTCAGAGAAATCAACATCACCTGACCACTCTCCCTCCTACAGAAAGACCAAGCAATTGCATTTCCTGCTTGTTCTCATGAATGCATCCAGGCAAACGTATCCACCTATTGTCCACCTGAGTTCTATCCATTTTGCTTCTTGGGTTCTTTTGCACCTACCACAAACAAGCTAAGCTATCCAGCTGCTGCATGAGCATCTCCCTCTTACCCCATGGTGCCCTCAGTCCAGGCATGAGGCAGGTCAGGCAAGGCTGAGCTCCAGGTCCAGCTTCCCCCATCCTGCCCATGTTGGGCACAGATCCCAGTGGCACAAGGTGGACCTCCTTCAGCCCACATCTCCTCAACATCCAAGGTTCAGAGCAAAGTCTGAGAGGTTGGAGACCGTTTCATATCTTTCTCCCAGGCATAACAAAACCTTCCAATTTCTTTCTATTGTCTCTTAGTTTGCAGTTAGAAGATTTTCAGAAGAATAAATGAATACTAACAAAGAGGGATGAGGGCCTAGCTGGATGCAAGGTTTGTGCCCAAGGTTTCTAGCCAGATCCAAATAAATCCTCTAGTGTTTCCCAAGCTTATGTTCACTGGCCCCAGATGATGTTTCATGCCTGTACTGACTTCTATGCATCCTGTTTTTAATCTATTTACCTATGTATTGCCCACAAAGTTTTTTATCCAGAGAAAATCCCATAAAGAAAAAGTAGATACATTAGTGGATCTGAATTCATGTAGCTAAAAACCATCCACCAATTCCTGGTCCTGTCTCCCAGCTTTCCTGCACTCCCCTCTACTTGCTACAGCAGAAGAGAGACAGACGCTCTGTAACTGGGCAGTTTCCCAGAAGGACCCCATTTTACAAACAGACTGCTTATTTTCCAGGCTATGAAATGTGCTGTGGGATTGCAAGGGATGCCTTGGGTTGTTGGAAGGTAATGACAAGGTGGACATCAGGGCAGATGGATGTGATTCTCCTCAATCCTGATATTGCCTTGCCCTGCCTTTGCAGAGAATTGGCAGGTCCTCAAACCAAAACATCTTCTCATGCTGGGTAACCTCATCCCCACAGCCATCCCTGTACTCCTTCACATCCCCTGGCAGCACTCTGAGTCGATGGCCAGTGCTGTGTCCTTCACTGCTGAGCTTCAGGCCTTGCCCCAGTAAAGTCTACCCAGTGCCTGATGTAAAAACTCAACTTCTGGACAGTTCATCTTCTATGGAAACTGCAACAGCTTGAGGTGCCATCACTCTGTGCTGCCATGGGCTCTGGTCATGCCAGGTGACAGAAGGGACCAGCCCTGCTGGAAAACTGGGCAAATTTTGCCCTAATGCCTTACAGGCATGGAGGATAAATAATGACAAAGAGGATGATGGACATGGTGCCACGTTTGAGAGTAACAGACAGGAAGGTGCCTGGTTGCTGCAGCAACAAGGCTGGGCTCTTGGGAAGATGGGTTTTTCTTTCTTTTTTCACCTGCCAATCTTCCCCCCACGTCAGCACTCTGCCGCTGCGGGAGACGAGCAGTGACATTTACACTCCCACTAACAAGCTGGTTCGGTGCTGGGCAGCTCTGCAGGAGAGCATCTGGTGTCACAGAGCCTGAGCAGAGAGGAAGGGAGGGTCCTCTCAAGTAGATAGCATAATTTGAGACTTTTTAGTATTGTGAGCTTTATTAGGGCAGGATCATGCATGGAAACAGCAGGCAAAGATTCACTGGGGCTTCTGACCCTTCATGTGGGTCTGGTCCTGCATCCTCCCTACATGGGAGCAATAAGATGTCACTCCTGCCCAAAGAACATCTCTGCATGTCCTGCTGGGAGAGGGAAGGAAACAAAAATGAGTGAAAGAGGAGGATGAGCAAGAAGTCAAGCATCACCACAGGGGTAATTTCACCTCTTAGCCTGCTCATGGTAGCAGGCTGTGCCATCAGCCATGCCCCTGCGGTTCAGTGTTCCTCACTGCTCCTTAAAGCTGCCCATGTCTTTGGCTCCTTGGGAGAAGTCATATTATGGTAGCAGAGGTGAAACTCAGGTGGTGCTCTCTCCCTCCTAGCTCATTTGTCCACTGCTGTGCCTCACAATACTTTCCTTTGCCTTCTGATTAGACAACTTTCAGTTCACCCAGATTGTCCCAACAATAATAGTAATAGCAATAACAATAATAATGATGCTACTGCAAACTAAATGCAAGAAAAATGCAAGAGCCCTGAAATGAATAGGATGAACAGTGGTTCAGGAAACTGCTTTGCCTCTTCTCGTCTCTCTCACTAGTTGTTTTGCTGCTGGCATCAGGAGGAAATTGGGAATTAAGAATCAGCAGCCTTTCCTGGCTTCCAGTCTGCTTTGCCAGTGCAGTCAGCTGAGAAGATGCCTTGTTGGACCATGCCCCCCAAACTGGGAGTAGAAATAAATATTGTGGCCAATAAAACCTGAAATTTGTGTATTCTCATGACCAACAGAGCCAAGGAAGACAGATTTCCTAAGGATCTGTGGCTACAAGTCAAAGACTCTGATGCTAGTATGGATTGTGCTGATATTTGAGTGAGAACATCAATAGGTTTTCTCTTCTCTACAGTGTCATTCTGTTTCACAAAGCTTGGAGGCTCCTGAAATCTTGGAGATCTCCACCTTTCCGTTAAACCAAGGTGAAAGTGGAGGCTGAAGATTATTAGTGACACACACACAAATAGGCTGCTCCACCTGCATTCCTGACCCCATTGTTCCCTCTGAGCAGAGAGAATGGGCTAATCAGCCACATTCCAGAATGGAGCCAGGCTAAAGGATCAGCATGTCCAAGAGGGCAGACCACCTCTAGTGTCTTTACCCCTCCCTGAAGCTGATGCAGCCCCTCCAGACTGAATTTATTACAGAGGCAAAATACCTGATGTGTTTCAACCCAGTTTCCTCAGAGTAATTGCTCTGGTCTTCTGTATCTTCACTAAAACACTCCTTGCATTTCCCAGCTGGTGCTCAAAAGTATACTCAATAATCTGCAGAGAAGAGATGACTGAGCAAATGTACAGTCAAGCCTGGGGGAAAAAAATGCATGAAGGCAGATTAGAAAAGACCAGATAAATAATCCTGCAAATATTGAAACTGCAGCAATTAAGAGGATATATACAGAAATCTCTCAATACAGAGAGCACACAGGAAGCATCAGCAAGGTTACAAACTGACCAACATGTGAAGGCTATACAAGGGAGAAACCCAGCCTTCCTGCCAGCAGTGACCATCACATCTGCAGCAGTGCAACGGACACAGTGACAGAAGTGAATCTCTTGTCAAAGCCATGTCAATCAGCAAAGCACAGAAAATTAGATCACTTGTGGGGTTTTTTTCCAGTGACCGAAACTCCGCAGGGGTGGCCTCATACCAACCTGAGCATCTTTCAGCAGAGGGTTCAGGATGGAAAGTTGTTCCCAGAGTACTGGAGCCCACAGCAAGAGCTGCAGCTGGGCAGAAATTTGGCAGCTCACATGGGCAGTGGGTCAGATGAAGGAGAAATAGAAAAAAAGCATTTTTAGCATTCTTGACCAGAACCCTCTTCTTACTAAAAAATTCATTATGTGCTCTTCTGTTGCCAGAGGTAATTTTGAAAATTGAGATGGTTTAATGTTTTGAGGGTTAACTTTTTTTGCCATCAAACCCTAATACAGAAAAAGACCAAATCCAGTCACAAAACATACTTATCTGAAAGACAGTGCTGGTGTCAGGCAGACTGATCTTATATCAAAAATTTCCATGCTTATGTTGGAGCTCCGTTTTGGACCTTTTTGACATCACTCCAATATACTTTTCTGCTTTCTGAACCCTCACCCTTCCTTTAAAGCATGGGTTGCTTATTGTAAAACCTGCCAAGCAAAGCAAGTGAATCAAGTGTCCTACAAGGGCAAGGAACAGGCTGTGCCACCCACCAGTCCACGTGTCCATGGAGTAGCAGAGAAGAGCACCACCAAGAACAGTGCAGAGGCTTAATTACCAACTGCAGACACTTTACAGCCATCAATATTATTCTTTAACTGTGTGGCTACATCTCAAATGAGCCATATACAATTTTCCTCCCACATCCAGGGAGCAGAGCTGTCAATGCTGGTCAGACTATGGTCACTCCAACAGATGTGCACTGACCTGTTGGGTTGGCCCTGGGGAATCTCTACCCGCAAATACATATCGAGTCGATATTGCAGAGCAGCAACAAGCATGGAGCAGGGGACCTCTCTCGCTGCACCCTAGAGAAAGTCTGTCCTAGAAACAAGACACTTGTAGACAGAGCTGAGCTAAGTTTGGGGTCTCATCACTGCCCAGATTATCTTAACACCCCAACTCAGCCTGGTCAAAATGGATGAGAAGGCTTTGAAAACTGCACTGGGTGACATCCGGGTTAGATGTTGGAACTTGATTTCCTTCACAATGAAACGAGTCTTTCTGACACTTGCCTCTTCCTCAGAGAGCTGTGATGATCCATTAAGCAATTGTCAAATCAGAATGGAGCTGCTGACTGAGAGTTGTGGCCCATTAATAGCCCTATTTATTGCCAACCAAATAATTAGCTTAGACATGCATCGGCAGGTCTTGATTGCATATGAAATAACTGCCTTATTACATAGAAATCAAACGAGTTTCTGAGGACAGCTCAGGTGTCACCTCAACCCCAGTATTGAAGAGGAAAAGAAAGGAAAAAGCCCAGCCATTTCGATGTGTTGCTCAGCAACAGAATTTGCGGGGGAAACAATCTAGGAATGAAGGAATGAGCATTTCCAAGAGAACAGGTTATTTCAGGCGAGACATCAGGGACAAGCAAATGTCACAGAGGAGGAAAACTTTGAAATTTTTTTCCTCCTTTAATCAATAATTCAAACTAGACATTTTGGGTAAAATAAGCATTTAAGTTAGCTGATTGAAAAATGGAGATCCCAAACCTTTACAGAGTCACATTGCTGAAGAAATGTTTCTTTTTGTTTGTGCGAGGGAAATGTTAGATTTACTAGACACTGAATTAAAAAATTAAAAATGCTCTTAGAAATGCCACTTGTTCATTTAAAGAGGAAGACGATGTAATGCCAGCATTGCTATATTGTGCAGCATCCCTCCCAGAGCAATCCCATATTAATTTTGCTGTTCTCCTTCCCCTGTGCCCTCCCTTCCCTCCCTTCTCCTCTCTCTTCCAGGACAAGACGAGTGCACTGAGTCTCAGCAATGTGGCAGGGGTTTTCTATATCCTCATCGGTGGGCTCGGACTGGCCATGCTGGTTGCCTTAGTCGAGTTTTGTTACAAGTCCAGAAGTGAATCAAAGCGGATGAAGGTGGCAACCCGTTCCCCGGCCTTTCACACCTTCTCTCTGATCCTACCCCGGCTCCAAAGCTGCCTTCAGAGACGGATGCAGCCCAGACCATGGGTGGAAAGCCAAGACATAGGGATAATGAAGTGACCGTGTCACTCAACTTGCTAGAAAGAAATAGGAGCATCAGAGGAAGCTGAAAGAGAGTTAAGAGGGCTATAGAGGGTAGCTGATGCAAGATCAGACATGTGGCATAATGCTAGTTCAAAATCCAGATATAGAGCAAAATCATAGCACAAACAGCGACAAGAACACATTGAAATTCCTTAAAACTAACAAAAGCAGACTATGGCAATGCGTGTGCAGCATGGATGAAGTGTGCTGGGGTTGGTGTGATACAGCAAGATGAGAAAAAATCCCCAAACCCAAGCAGTTAACAGCAAGATAAAACTGGGGGAGCACAGTAATGAATCACATCCTGTTGTTCCCTTTGCTGGCACCCTGCTGGCACCATTTCCAGGCTGACAGCAGTGGTATATGCTCAGAGCATGGCTGCCCTGGAATGGATGATGTGGGTCTCCACATTCAGAATTATGGATCCTCTTACAGAGAGGTTGTTCTCCAAGGTCTCCTGTAATTTTTTTAACTCCACCCTGTCATGGTTGTGCAGAAGAATACTTCCTGTGACCCAGGAGATCTGTTTCAGCCCTAAATTCTGGTGTGCCTAAATTCCAGAGAGTCGTGTCAAGAGTGGATTAGATTTGAGAGCCTTGGGGATACAGATTTAATGCAGCATCTGTGGAACAAATATATCTTGTCTTAGATGACTAGCTGAGGTGATCCCTTATACAGATACCATGGTGTACAAGGAAACACTGGGATATGTAACACATCCCTTTACTCCTTCATCTTGACCTCTCCCATGAGCATGGAATTTGATATATGAAGTATACAGTGAGTTTCCAAAAATCCAGGTAGATTTTTACTTCCCTGAGGACTGAAACTTGCCCAGAATCAAAAGGAAAATAAGCAACTGCTTCTTTGGGTTTTATGTCACCATTTTGCAACATGCTTAATGTTTTGTCAGCAATAATGACTTTTCTAATGCACTGAAAATGTGCTACAGCTCTTTCCCCATTGAGGTTCAGAAAATTCCACAGGCAATGAGAAGTACAGGGATAAGATAATGTAAGCAAATAATTCCCTGGAAATACCGAAATTAAATTATACTTATTGTCTACCCTGTAAAGTTAGGTATGGCAATGAGTGTCAGAATGCAATACCTCCATAGTTTTAGTCTTAAGGAGCTCTGCCCTGCTGCTGGCTTCCCTGTGTTCCTTGAAATGACCCACTAACTCATGTCCAGGCTACCTTGTGGTGCTCTTGCCTTGTTAAAACAAGGCACTATGGGAAGGACTCAGTGCTTCCAACGTTAACACCTGTGCTAAGCTTGTCCCATCACCAGTGGCTGCCCCACAAAGCCAGTCAGCACAGAGCAGGCTCTCTCTGGGGTCTGACCCAGATACCCCTCTGAACCCAACCTCTGCTCAGCAAGTACTTCCAGATGCCCTGAAAGCAAAAAATGGGGATGGTATCTGGAACAGGAAGATAAGATTTGGTTTCCTGAATTAGGTTTACATTTCCTACTTACTTCAGTCATTGCCGTAGACAAAAACATAGGCACATGCTCAAATTCTCACATGAGGAAAGTTAAACATATGCTTGCAGTGAGTCAGAGTCCACTGTGCCTAACAGTCCTGGAGTAGTAATAGCATCTCTATGGGGGAAGTGTGTATAATACCTCTGCTCAGATTCAGGATGACTGTTCTTATGTTGTAGAGTTGGAATAGTTTTTGCATATGGCACTAATGTTTTATACCTCAAAATACTGCTGAAACATTTAATTTTGCATGTAGGAAAGGTGTGAACTAACAGAGCAGATGCAGGGGGGACATGCAGAAGGAGTGAGAGTCTGAGTAGAGACAAGGAGGGAAAGAACAGTGACAGGAAGACAACACTGGTTAATATTGTAATTTCTCCAACATTGCTAAGGACAGGGGGAGACCCCCCCGTCTTTCCTAAAAAGGGTTTTTGTTTAATCCCACAGCAATCAATCAACGAAGCCATACGGACATCAACCCTTCCCAGGCCGGCTGCAGCAGGAGGCAGTGGAGAAAATGGACGTGTGGTCAGCCACGATTTCCCCAAATCCATGCAGACGATCCCATGCATGAGCCACAGCACTGGCATGTCCCTGGGAGCTACAGGATTATAATTGGCCTTTTGACCCATTGCCTGGGTGAGAGCAGGGGGCAGCCCAACTCCACCCCTCCAGAGCCAAAAAACATACCCAACACCAACAAGACAAACGATGATGACAGAAGGGACAATTGGATGGATCTTCTCAAGGAAATTAAATCTGTTTCCCTTTTTATTTGCAAGCAGATCCACTGGCAGGAGAACAGAAACAGGTCTGTACTGCAATAAGGAGAGTGTACTGGGATTTAACAGACTCGTGAACCGTCCCTGATCAAAGAACCACTGGAACACTAATGAGGACTATGCCATTTTGTTTTAACTTGGTTGTTAATAAGTCTTAGTGTGTGCAATATATATATTTTTTCTTACTAATTCCTGTGGTGTCAGGGTAACATCAGCCCTTTCCCCCTTCCCTGCTCAGTCCTTCAATCTGGTTTAGTTTGGGATGCAAACCACAATGTCTGAGATACTAACGGCAAAAAAGAAAAACCGATACATGACAAGTTGAACTCACTGCAGGGCGTCAGCATTGACCCCTTTTGTCCATCGTGATTCTGCCTTCGTTGTTCTGTTGTGAACTCAGACTGTGGAGTTATTGCAATGAGGCAGACAGAGCTGTCACCAGCTCTCCCTGCAGCAGGAAGGACTTGATGCAAGAAGGAACCTGAACAAAAACACAAAGCTGTTTTACAGGGGGCAAAGTCATGGGTGAGTTTGGAAACCCTAGGTAACCTGAGGACAAAGTGGTAATTCTTCCAGAGATGATGAGTGGCGGTTCAAGAGAAGAATCATGTGCCTGGAGTGGAGAGCATCATATGTGGCAGACTGGAGCAGATGATTGGTCTAAGATCATGGTCAGCTGCTGTTTATGGAAGAGAGAAAGTAAACATGGTATTCCCCTCACATGCAACTCTCCTGCCTAGGTTATTGGGGGCTAATAAGCAATCGTGAACCATTTCTTCATTGCTTAGCTTCTGTGTGTGCTCTCTTTTTGGTGGTCACATAAGGGAACCACCTTGAGCCAGGAACAGACCATCTCAAGACATCCAGTTCTAGATGGCTGCCTATTAACCAGTAAAACATGCTAGAAGTCATGGGGCTGCAATGGGAATATCCCTGCCTTTTTGCTCTGAAATCCCTTTATGGCCATTTTTTTCTAACTAAGAGGGACATTTTGTAGGGAGCTGGCCAGAATGGATTCCTGGAAGGAACTGCTGAAGAAAACCAAGGTGGAGACCCTACAAGAGTTCATTCAAGCAACCGTGACATTCAGCAGCATCAGGGCTGGTCAAACTCAACCTCCCCATCAAGTTGTGGCCTGTCTGGGTACAAAGCCAACAGTAG